GTGTGGGTGAGTGATAGTCTACTTTGATTTTGGTTAAGGTGGATTATCACTTACAGTGTAATCAGTGAGGGGATTCTACAGACTGTTGAGGGTTCAGCCTCCTGATGAGTCGGTGAAACTCCGACGAAACAGTTTGTCACATTCCCTCGTTTGTTGTCCTCTTCTCCCTCTCTGCCTACGGTTTACCGGGCAGTTCTATTTGACGATATATATATATTCACTGCTCCAGTTTCCTTCTGCTGCGGTTTCCACTGCTGCAGTTTTCAGTACAACAGTTTCCCTAACTCTAATTCCCCCTACTTTAGTTTTTACCGCTACAACTTCCTGTCCTGCAGCTCCAATTCAAAGAACATCACAATCTCTCCGACGCTCACGTCCTTTGCTCTGAAATCTTGCCCAATCCACCCCCTCTCATCTTTGTCTGTGCTTGGCCATAGACGACTGCATTCCTCCTCACCACCCCAATCTCCTCCACGGTCTCGCTTGCGAACAGACTCTTTAGTTTCCATTGTTCCCATTGTTCCACCTTTGTTGCTAGGTACAAGTTCATCTTCTGTTTGCAACACCACTACTCCTCTTGTCGTGTATACCGACAACATCGGCGACATCGTCACTTGTCCGGGGATCAGCAACCTGTTTCTTTGTTCGCCCCGATTCTCTTTGTGCCTCCTCCATAGGTTGTTGCGGTTCCTTTGTTTCAAACGACAATATCCGCTCATATGCCTCCTGCAGACAGTCCCGCTGCCTGCAGGCAGCTACGGTGCCCTGCGGCGTTAGATATTCACGACTCACCTGTAGAACATGATGTGGTCCTTGCCCAGAGTACACTCCCGACTCCAAGTACAGTCCCTACTCAGGATGCAACCGCTGCCCAAAGTACACTCCCGACTCCAGGTACAGCCCCTACTCTGGATGCAGCCCTAAACGTTGAGGGATTGGAACATGATCTGCCCAGATTGCAGGTGACCCCACAAGGTGTAGACCACATGGGGGATCTGCAAATGGCTGACCAGCATTGTTCGGATGAACCACAATTTTGTGCTCCACCACGCGCAGACCACATGGGTGATCTGCAAATGACTGACCAGCAAACAACCCAACACACCATCTGGGTGATCTGCAATATCATCAGACTTCCTTGCAATCGCCCTTCATCTTGATGCTGATCTTCCCCAACTACAGCCAGAGGATTGTAATTACACCAGCGAAGGAGGCCTTACCATTGCTGTCCTACAAGTAGCAATGAGGGACCGTCGACTTGAACTACGCAATGCTCGAGCAGGTGAGTGGTTTAATGTCCACATCTCTGCCTGCACTGTGCAGCCCTGGCCATTACATGGCTATTGTACATGCCTCTGACCACTGGGAGCTGTGGGACAACGGCACCATGGTCCATGCCATGATTGACGTCACTGATTTCTTACAAAATGATGTTGTTTTCTTGCCACAACAAACCGTCCGCAATCTCTTTTATGTCGAAGATCATTCCTCTGGCCCCATGCTGCAGCAAGACAATGTACCAACACTCTGCGACCTTCTCCTTTGCACAGCCACAAACACTGTTACACTCGGTTGTAGCCACCATCGTCTCTGTCACAATCACTACAATGACATGGTTTCTGCATCCATGTGTGCAGAGGACTGTCCCACCATTCTTGACTGCAGGCACCCTCCGCATCCGGACACTATATGTCCATTTTGCGGCCATGGGCGCTATACTAAATGCATGCTCTTTTGTGGTGACCATTCTTCTTTCATTTTGACATGGAATCGGCATGCCATTTGTCGGGGGTGTATGGTGGGCATGCTCAATGCCACCCGTCGTGGCAATTGTTGCACTGAGAATGCCCAGCTAGGTCTTCCATGTGTTCATCCACGTCATCCTTACAATGTATGTCCTCTCTGTTGTCAAGGACATACTCATTCTTGAGCCTTTTCTTATCCTCTTTTGCCTCCATCTTCACTCCGCACTCCATACTTTCCCTACTTTCCCTTTATCGTTCTTTGTTTGTCTGCTCTCCATCTCTCCTCCCTGTGTTTATCCCCTCCCCCTTCACTCTGCCTCTTTCTCACAGCGTACAAGTGGGCTGTTATGGCACACTGGGATGGGGGCAGCTCGCGCTCAACTTCATCAACGTGGCGAGCCTTGTACGTGAGAGGCACGGTGAAAGGGGAGTCAAAAGAAGAATGAGCAAAATGAATGGTTTCAGTGTCCCCTTCATGTTTGTCTTGTTTTTTTAATTTTTAATTTTTGCTGTTTGTTTCGCAAAGTGCGCTCTTTTAATTCATACTACTTCATAGTTATGTGACAATATTTATAGCAGTCTGGAATATCG